TAACTAACCAAACTTGCTTGTAACATTTAAAAATTCTGTGTTTAACTTGCCTTTTCTGTTATCGAAACGGAATTTTTAAATGGTACAGCAAGTTTGGTTGGTTATGTTAGGTTAGCTTAGAACAGTTTCATTTCTTAATCCATATAACAGACTATTTTAGCCTAAACAAGATCAGTTGTCAATTTGTAATGGATCGGAAAACAAAAATATCGATATACCGAGAAAAAATCATCGATAATAATGAATGTTCCCTTTAACAGGAAAGTACCAAATTATTTAATACATACGATGTGTTAATTAGTGTTAATCAATTATTTGTATACCACTCATATCACCGGCGTAATTAAGGACATTATGAGGGCACTTTCAAATGCTGTCTCTATATCAAAATATAAATCTGTATTTAAATAAATATATGCATCACGTATAGGTTTAAGTCAACAGTTCAGTTCAGTTTTAGTCAAACAGCTTACCTATATTACAATATTTGAATCGACGGAAATGAAATTCGTGCACAATTTCCGATTCAAACTAACTTAAACTGTAAAGTTAGACTTGGTAAAATTAATTATATGGAAAAATCCCACTCAATTTTTCACCCTCTATTTTACCATCAATATTTAGGATGATGTATTTATAAAGTTTTTATCGTATATGGTCTTTGATAAACCGTTCAAATAGTAAAGTAAACGATGATTTGAATCGGCTCTGCTTGTCAACTATCGTTCGTCATCATAAGTTTTTATAATTTTTATTCCAAAATTAGGATAAGGAAACTAACAGACTATACATATTCAATAGACGGATAGCTCAAGAACCACAGCGGCGTCACTAAGCTCTTCATATAACAACACTCCGCTCCCCACATTTGACTTGGAAATTTGACTTCTCGACGGATTTTTATTTACTTAATAAGCAGACTACACGAAATACAAGATGTGGTTGGCAATATAATTTTCTTATTTGCTCTACACTAACTATTTTTTACCTAAAATCACTAAATTATATTAGTACATTGGGAGTCATCATAAAATCTATGAAAATATTTTTGGTTACGAATAATTCTTGAAATATAACCACAATATTGTTTATAATGAGTGTAATATGTAGTTTATTTTGAATAAAAAAAAAAATAGTATATTATTTTTGATGTTAGCATGTTGCACTACGAAATATTGTTACAAGAAAATTCCTTATTTATTGGCTAATTAAATATTGTATTACATATTTCAAAAATGACTCATAAATCTACTCATCTTATCTACTTAGAGAAAGACATAGCGTGTTGTTTTAAAATAAACATAATTGGTGGTAATTATTTCAGAACATAGAAGCGCAGTGTTGATTTAACCCTTATAATATTACAATACAATGTGTATAACAATAACGAGCGGCCAATTAAACTACTGTCACTTTTGAAACCTAAAGTATAATGATCTAAAGTATTGTGGCAATTTCCAGTTGTGATATTAACGATTGAAATAGATTCCGATGACAAACTTATCCCATGATATTCCTTGTGCTCTCTGAGTAGTTGAGCAACGATTGGCAAATTATGAAAAAATACAATGTGTTAATCATAAAGTAAACGGATATAGATTCAACCATGTAGCGTTCGTGTATTTCCAGTTACATTTCTTAGCAAAGTACTCATAATTTCCTGATCAATTGTACCTTGTCTATGTGGAAACATGAGAATCAAATCTGAATTACTCCAAAATATTTCCATTTACTTTGAAAAGGGCATGGTTATTTTAATGTTTCGAGGTATACTATTTCTATACTGCATCTACAGCTATAGACGTTATGTTCCTCAATTTATTACCAGGCATACTATACGAGTAGTTTCTTAAGCTAATAAATAAATAATTGCCAACCTATTACATCACATAACTAGCTTCTACTGTATAAAAAAAGTGTTATCTCAACGAGTTAACACAGATAGTGAATAAAGTGTGCTTTGTACAACTCGCTGTCACGGTTAGGGTTTTTCTAGGTCAACAGTTGAGTTGTTTCCTGGTGTAATTAACTTGTAGTTCCCCGCTAAATGCTCATTAAGTCTGCGTTTGTCTTAATAGGAGGAAAAAACTGGACGCATAAACTAGTTAGTAAAATGAGACCAATTACCCTTAGTATCTGACTCATAAACAAATAATGATTACAAGGCATGAAGAAGAATGACTAGTTGTGTCATAATCATTTGAAGGAAAGGTAGCGAAATAAGGTAATTAAATTATGTAACAAAACTAGGTAATTGATTAGTAGCTCGAGTTGTTTGTTAATTGAATAGTCATAAGTTGAGTGAAATTAAAATTATTTAACAAACTCATCATTTTTATGATTAAGTGGAACGTAAACAATATTTGCATCCACCAATGAGCCGAGTAAGCTTGCATTTGCGATTTCTAATTCGACTGTGATAAACAATGAAAATAAGTAGTGCTATAAACACTTTTTTAGAAAAACTAAAGAAAACTCAATTTTGTTTGTTTATTTTTGTCAAACGTGGCTTTACCATATCACCCGGCAGTCTGTCATTACCAATATTATTGCAATACAAATTAAGATATGGACGCCCTCTAGGTGAGTATTTGAACCCAAACATGAGACGTAGGGTAAAATAGAGTAGACTTTATAGGGCCTATCTATTCTAGCTTTTTTATTGACCAAGATAAGCTGTTTCATCAGTCAGGATCGTTTATTTAAAGCTCAATGATCAAGACTAACCGGGTCCAGTTTCATGTTTATGAGATACCTAAAGCTGATAACCCAAATAAAAGTGAAGGGTGAGTGTAGAATGGTGATAGATGATTTGTGTAGCTTTGTTACTGACTAAGATCAGCTGTTTCAACAGTGAGGATCCATTTGTTCAAAGTCAGGAAACTAGATCAAGTTTCAAACCATCAAAAAGCTTCTGACTTTTCTCAGGATTGAACCAGCGACCTTTTGACTAGCAGTCAATTAACATAACTACTAAGACACTTCAGCACCTAGCCACAACTGTATCGCTCTTACTGAACAGTTTTTCAATAATTGTATGTTTAATTATACTAAATAAATCAAAATGAAATTGATTTGGAAACAACAACAAAAATCTGGTAGATTCTGTCGTCTGCGACAACTTCGTTTTACCACATTTCCATCAAAGAACCGTCTTGTCACTTTCCTCGTTATCAACCACCTGCCTTATCCAACTCCTCCTGAATGCCTTGATTACTAGTTCCTGCCACAGTCATTAGTATTGTGCGCGCAAGCAAACGTGTATATGTAGTGTTTCAGTGTTAGTTTAAATACAATCCTTTGATCATAGAGTGTGACAGTTTACAGAATTATGCAAGACGATGCGGTACACAGTACAAAAAAGGTGGCTAGGAAGCTATTAGATTGGAAAAATGAATATTTCTTTGGGTTATTTTCTCGGTATGTTTGTTGAGTATTGTTCATATATAGGGATTTGTAATTAAGTTTTAATGGGCTTAACTTTTGTTAGATATTTAGCTATTTTAAAATAATAGGTTCGATGTGTATATATTCGGGTTTAGTTACAAATTTCAATAGTAATCGGTTCCTAATCTGTTTACCAGAACAATGTTGGGATCTAATTATTTTACGCGAAAATGGCTTCATATGAATTTAATGCTTTGAGCATATATCTAATTTGATGTTTCGCTTAGTTTGTTTGACAAAAAGAGCTAAATATTCAAATCTAAATAGATGTTCGTTTCAACAGTAAGAAACTTTATAGTTATAAAACTAGTTTTACTATAGACAGTTTTATAGGGGGTGCACTTAAATTAAGTAATCTCTGCATTAAGTAATCGACGTATATACCGTACGTGGATAGCCTGCTTACATGTTTATTTAGATTTATAGTATATTTCGTAGCTAGGGCTGAAAATGAGGTTTTGCCGACTCGGGGACTTAGAACGATCGAGAGCTGGAAAATTATTTAGGTCCATGGTACAACCGCTATTTTTCACCACACTTTACCCTATTACCACTATTCACTACAATAATAATGCAGAAAAACAATGAACACAACTACAACTTTAAGGTTGTGTGAACATTTGAGGAATCGGTGAAAATAATAATAAATAGTTGCTAGGCAGCTTTGAAAATATCACAAGTCTATTTCAATGCTATTGATACTGATTGTGTATTTAATATGCATTAATGTGTTGAGAAAGTAAGTGAACAGCTAATTTTTGGCCCTAAGGATGTAAAAACCTGCTTCGTCCCCAAATCACGATGGCAGCTTTCATGGACAGCAAAACGTAGCTTTCGGCCTCTAATAAACCTTTGTAAAACGGATAAAAACATCTTAGTGTGGTGAAAAATATGTTTTTTATAGTTTAATTCGTGTTACTTTCAATTATTTTTTATTAATTCCTATTACTGTACTTAGATATTTAAAACTCTTGTATACGAGTTTTAGCGAGGAAAAAACAGGTATCTTCCTAATAGTCATCTGGCGCCTTAATATTAATCAAATTTTTATCATAGGAAAACATATTTTTAATGTACAGTTTTAAAATCATAAACAAATATTTTCGTCCAAGTAAAAAGAATCCTTAAAAAAGTATTCTTTTAGTTTTATCTATTACTTCTATAACTTAACTTGTCCCAATGTGGTAAATAACACTTTTATTCCTATGTTTAAGACGTATAAATTTTCTTTTCAGTCTAAATCGTTACCTTATAATATTCATATCAAAATAAAAGACAACATACATCCCTTTGGAATTTATCTTTGAGTCCTAAAGTTGTAATGTTGTTCTCCGATCTCTTTAGGTTTTTAACTTATTGAAATGCTAACTGCTGAACCACCGATTTAACCATGTAAAATAATTAAATCAAACATTGACACCTGAAATTAATTCAACTTGCAACAATTCAGTATTAAAACTATTTCCTTATATTATAAATCCAATCTTTCTCTCTTAATTAGGTTAAATTTAACTTTTAATTAATTTTATCTAACCTTGACGTCTCCATGACAGGATGACCGCAGTAGACGACAGCCGAGAAGCACATGGAACTCTCAACACAGGGTTCACACACGATGAGCCAAGGAGGAAAGTCAGCATCAGCATGGATGCCGTGCATGCTGATGAGGAGCGGAAGAGAAAGATCAGCACCGGCAGCCATCTTGGTAAAAACCTCGGTCTTCATAACGGCGACCACAGTCACTTTGTAGGTTAGAAATTTTCTCTTACAATATTATCTAGCCATCACCATAAACTCACATAAAACACATAAAACTTTACGTTAAAAACTTCCAAGTTGTACTATTTAATAGTTCAGGGAGTGAGTGGGTCCAGTAAAGTGTGGAGCTTCGGATTCCGTGGGCCTGGGTGCAAATCCCACCAATCACCAATGGATTCAATCTTTAAGATAATAGAGCAACCCTCTAGGACAAGCCTAAAATAATGTGGAAACAATAGCAGGCTTTGTTTTATTTTATTTTGTTGTATAGGTATTTATAATGAATTTAATATATCAATTAAATACTAATAATGAAAAGAGGCATTCACAAAACATATTGCTTTGGACCGCTTTTTACAAAAAAAAATTAGAGTAACACCCTCTGTTTTATCTATTCTAAAATATTCCACGACCGTAGATGAGAATTAAATGCTTTTTCTAATCATATATACTTTTTTGGCAATAGTTTCCTTTTTTTAATTTAAATTGAAAATAATAATATTCTTATTTGTATAGTTAGTTTTTTCATAAAAATCAAGCAGACTTACAGGCAGCACTCATAGGCAAGTGCTGCTCTTCTGATTGCACAAAATAAATTAAATTAAGCAACACAGACTTGTTTTTTATTAGCGAATTTCCCATATAGGGAATAAGCTATTACCGTAGTACTCATGGTAAGACCTGGACCCAGGAGCGATTTTTTGTTTTGAGGTCCCTAGAGGCCAAAAACACCATCCGTTCAAATTCATATATATATATATATACTAGCTGACCCGGCGAACTTCGTATCGCCTAAGTTATAGGTTTCCCCTAAGACAGACCGATGGAAAACCCGGCAGACGTTGTCTTGCCTTTGACTATTTATAATTTAAGTACCGTTACGTTTAATTTTCAAGATGATCTCGTTCGCATCGCTCAATCACGTCCTGGTTGAAGTTCGTTCGCTACGCTCACTCACCTTTGGGTTAGAGCTCGTTCGCTACGCTCACTCACCTTTAGGTTGGAGCTCGTTCGCTGCGCTCACTTGCCTTCAGGTTAGCTCGTTCGCTACGCTAACTCGCCTCCAGGTTGAAGTTCGTTCGCTACGCTCACTCACCTTTTGGTTGCAAATTAGCTGTTGTCATAAATGTAAAAGAAATAATAGTGCTGCACCCTGTTGGTAATCCTTGCAACTTTAATGCTATTGAACATCATAGAACAGAACCAACTTGTTTAATTGAAACAGCTGTTAAGATTCATTAATTCCATTTCTCATAAGGTTAACATGGGAAACTCCAGAGCCACTGGGGCGGAGCCCTTTTAAGAATTTCGAAACGGGAAATAGTTTACGTCCGATTCGCATACCTACAGAATTTACACACCAAATTTCATAACGATCGGTGAAGTCGATCCGGAGGAGTTTGCAGACAAACACTGTGACACGAGAATTTTATATATTAGATATATATATATATAAATATATATATATATATATATATATATGTGTGTGTGTGTGTGTGTGTGTGTGTGTGTGTGTGTGTCCGTTAGCGCGATAACTTGAGCAAAAATGATCCGATTTTGATGAAATTTGGTACAAACGTGTAAACCTACGTTTATTCGAACGAGTTCGCGAACCAGCATGATCGGACCATGGGAACGGGGGTTTATGGGGGCTTTTATGGGGTAAAAATGGGTTTTCCAATTTTTGACCCAAAAAACATAAAATTTTGCAATTTCTTTCCAAACTATTTTGTAGAGCTTAAAAAAACAAATAATTTAGTATATTGAAGCGTTATAATGCGCCTAATGGTTACGGAGAAAATTCAAAAAAATTATTAATTTAAAATTCCCATGTTATTCTTATGGAGAATAAGTAAACTGTTGTAGTTTGCTTGTTTATTAACATATTTTGCCCAAATTTGGAAAATGTTTTAATTTCTTACTAACTATTAACATTTTACATAAAAAACCACTTACCCTCCCTGTTGCAGCAAACCTAAGTATGTGTTAAACTGATTCTATTTAAATAGGGAATAAATGTGATATTTTTAAGGAGACATTTTAGTGTAAATCCAATCAGGCAAATGGAAATTCGCTTAGTCTGCAGGTTTGCTGCGGCGGGGGTATTTTATTAGTTTATAATTTTGTAATTAACTATTCATTAAAAAGTATGTATTTGACTTGTTCATGCTGTAGTACATTATATGGTATGTATATAATTTTATTTATTAATTCAATAATAACACTTTTTTAGTTGAGCATGCAGTTTTTTTTTTACTAAAAGAGAATACCAAAAGATGAAGCACATTTATTTATGCTAAATGTTACAAAAGTTAGGAAATTGATAGTTCTATTTTTTACTGACAGCTTTTTTTACGTGGTATGAAAATAGATAATACTGATTGTAAATAAATTTTCTATAAATAATAGACACACAAATTCATTTCCAAAACGAAAAATGTAGTATTTTTATAATTCATTTATTTTTTTAGAACACAGTAACACAAGTAGCAACACAGGCCAACTTAACTTGGACCACATACATCAGCAATACAATGCCAGGACTGAAGCGTAAGTACAACTGTTACATTTTCTTTTATTTAAGTAGCGGTTTTGATGAAAATTAGAAATAATATGAAAAGCGTTATGTTGATTCATAAAGTTCAACCCGTATTGTAAATCGCCTAAAGTGTATCGCTTTAGTTTGTATAGTAGTTTTCCTTGTTTATAATGCATGAAATTGACTAGATTATTAGAAAACCAGTATGGCGACAAATGAAACAGATAGGACAGTTGTGTTCCTTGAAGTGTGTTTCTACGCAATTTATCATTGGTTTCTGATGAATATAGCTCCAGTTGTAAGTGTTGAGCACAATTTTGGGATTAGTGCAAAGCTCCTTCAAATATCAAAGGCCTGAAGCCAAATGATGTCCCTGTACAGTGGATTCATTACATATAACTGTGGGATATAACTATGGTATTCAAACCAGACAGATACGAAAAATAAATTTGTACGATACCATTGATTCACTCCATGGTACATGTTGGTGGTGTCTAGCACTAGTGCTGGTGTCTAGGTTTAAGTCCCTCCTCGCCCTGTGTCTTGTGCGATAGGAATCTCCGCACAGTGCTTGCCGTTCGGGCCCTTCCTTGAAAGTATATTTCCGGCACAATACACCAAAACTGAAAGGGCATGGTTATCCCATAAGCGTGTTTCCTCTCTTACTTATCTGTTATTGTACTGAATTAATGCCATTAACTAAATCATTTCGGACAGTTCCTGGTGGTACCTGTTGTGCGCCAAGTGTCGTCAGAAGGAGACAGGTCCTGGTTGGGAGCCCAGCTTCTGGCAGATGTTCTGTCCCTACCCCTTCTGCCCCACCTACCGCCACGTGGCCCAGTGCTTCGCCCTCTTCCTTCTGGTCATGCTGGCCTGGGGCGTCGTCTACTCCGTGATGGGCTCCGACGCAGCACCTGGAGGTCCTCTGTTTGCCATGGCCATGCTCGTCATCTCTGCCCACTTCGGTGGTTACTTCTTCAGACTTATCAACTTGCCTGGACTGGCTGGCATGCTTGCTGTTGGAGTGATCTACCAGAACATGGGGTTGGTGGATATTCATGGGCCTTATCTCAAAGTTTCGTCAGTTCTGAGGTAATAGTTTGTTTTAATTTAATTTTTTTTTTTATTTAAAACTTTCAAAATAATATATTAACATTAAAGTTATTATTTGGTATTTATCTGAATCCTGTTTATATCTCTGAGATGTTTATATCTATTTGCTTACAGATTCATTCAGCAGTTATCACAATTTATAATAATTTGTTTAAATATACAAAACTATATTCGTTATATTTAAAGTTATTTTCTGGATAAAATTGTTGTTCACAACACTAAAATACAAGAAGAACAGTTTAGATTGTTGTACTATGCTATTAAAATGAGCAAACGGTCCTTGGTATCATGTTGAAAGGTAGATATGCAGGAATATATTGATTACAAAATAAAGTAATGTGAAAATAAGAGTTTTTTTATGTTTTTATTATATTTTAAAAGTTTAAAATAAAGTAACGGTTTGCAGAAATGCTATTGATTGCGATGTAGGTAAGATAAAAAATTTGACTATCCATTATAAATTCCTCAGAAGGACTATTTAACTTGTTAATGTATATGTTTTAGGTCATAGAACCTAAAACAATAGAAACGTTTTAATAATAGAAACCCATTTTTTTAGCCTTTTATGATAGAGTTTGAAACATGTATATAAGTTTTTATCAAAATCCAATAATCGTTTGGAAAATATGTATTAATTATTCTGTAGATAATTTTATACTTTTTTTAAGTAAATTAATTTTGTGGCTTGTTTAATCAATATTGCGGCAAAGGCATTGAAACAGGTTTTATGCAGGAAATTGTAAGTCTTTGACGTTGGACTCTAACAAAATGAATAAGACGTGTAAATTAAACCATTCACTGAAGTAATTTCCCTTCATCATATCAAACTTCATCAAACAATCTTTAAAAAAAGTAATTAATTTCCTAAATAATCTATATATATATATAAAATCCAATGTATGTTTGTTTGGTTGTTTTTTGTCCTTTATGGACTCCGAAACCTAATGAAACTTTCAGGCATTATTAAACATTATTCAAGGATGGTTTGTGTGAAGTTTGGTGCAGATCCACCAATTGATTCTGTGGTGTTCAATAGCATTAAAAAGTTAATAGGTTTACCAACAGGGTGCAGCACAATTTTTATTATTATTTATGACAATTGCTAATTTGCAACCAAAAGGTGAATTAGCGTAGCAAACGAACTTCGACCAGGACGTGATTGAGCCATGCGATCGAGCTCTTCTTGAAAATGAACGAGCATGTGACATAAAACCACATAGGACAGGACGACGTCTGTCGGGCCAGCTAGTATGAATATGAAATATGATGAATATGTTAGTTAATATTATCGTATATCCTAGACATTTTAATTAATTATAATTTGAGGGGAGCTAAGGAAATTAGTTGCGTGTCATTCATCAATAAAACCACTCAAGTCAAATCAGTTGATTAAATAACCTATCCAACAACAATACCTTAATTTAATTCGCCATAAAAACATTTGGAATACTAGTTTTAATGTTTAATTGGAAATGGTATAATGCACTAAGTTAAACATAAACTAAAGAGATTAATCTAGCCATCGCTGTAATGTTAATGGACTAATATGTCTGGCTCAATGTTTAAACGTCCACGCTTTGTTATAAATGGTAATGTTCTGCTGGATTTATATCAACCACTGAGGGTTATGAGTTTGTAACTGAAAACAACTCTGTCTAATTACAAGTAACATTTATCTTGACAAATTCACTTCTACTAGAGCTTTGAGTGTGAATTTATTTGAATGTGTTTTCAACCAGTTATGTGTCTGTTTTGTTTTAGTTGAATTCAGAATCATAGCAAACAGAATCTTTGTCAGTGATTAGGGAATAATACCTGCTAGCAATTTAATTAAAAGAAATATAAACTGTTTATTTACAGATGAACCACACAAATAGTGACAAAAATATATTTTTGTGTTAAATGTGACTGTGTTGCTTAACCTGTGAAATATAAATAACGTTGAATTGCACGTTGTACGACATTTAAATTAAAGCAAAAACACAAAATTAAGATGGTAAAAACACTCCTGGAGATACCATGCATTAGTAGCCACGTAGCAAGTTTCTTCAAAATTGGACCACAGGTGTAGTCTTTAGCTCTGTAAACGTCCACACACACACACATTGATTAGAAAAAAAAATCCAGGGGAACCCAATACGAAAGGTCTTTCTCAAAACTCAACCTCGATGATTTCAAACAATACGTTCTCTATATACTTTGTATAAGGGGAGAAAGTAAAATTAGAACGAGACTAATTCATTGAATCAACAGGAGGATTGCCCTGGTGCTTATCTTGACCAAGGCCGGACTTGACCTTGACCCTGGGGCAATGAAGCGCCTCTTCGGGACCATCCTGCGGCTAGGTCTGGTCCCTTGGTGTGTGGAAGCGGGTATAGTCTACCTAGCTTGTCATTTCATCCTTGGACTACCAGGCATGTGGGCATTGCTGACTGGGTAAGTGTGGCGTCATAAAAAACAAGTAATTTTTTTGGAGTCTTAGGAAAATCTGAGTAGTTTCTATGTTTAAGAAATGGCATGAATCATCAGTAATTGATATCCTGTAAGAAACAGGTTTTATACTATAGTAAGTTGTGTATTTTACAGGATACAGAGTCTTATGCTTATTAATAAAGTGCATTCTATACTAGTAGGTGTGTAATTTATTTTAGACTCAAGTTTGCTGTTGTCTGAGCACTTGTAGGTAGGATGTTTATGTCACGCTATGGGTTTCACCAGATGTTGTGGCATATAATATAATTTAAGTTTGATGCTGGGATAGCAATAAAAAATATGTACTGTATTATTACACTCAACATTTTTCAGTATATTGGTACATTGTGTGATGACGTCATGCAAAGATGTACAAAGAATTTTACCTTGTTGATTTTCCCATTCTTTTAGAGTTGCTAAAGACACTATGATATGTTTCTGTTTCGTATTCGAGGTTTGATAAAAATTGTTTATTTATTTCCAATATTTAAACCTAAATAGTAGTTCATAAATTAAAAGACCAAGTAATGAAAGAATTGTTCGCATTAGAGTATTAAAGCTTTCAGCAAAAATTTCACTGAAATAAGACACATACATTTACAGTAACTACATAAGCTACAATTAATAAATCACACATTAAATCCAGCTGTAGATTTACTACAAAATCAGTAGGTATGTGCCTATATCAGACTTATACAATAATATAGCGTGGTGTAAGCAGAATGGGTATAAGATTAAAATAACATTATACGTTATTTATTATGTTTGGAGGGGTTTCGTACTATTTGAATACGAAAACTGGTCGGGCTGATTATAATGGTTCTAGTATTCAAAGCGTGTTTTGTAATCTGTATAAACCATCACTCTCTGAATTTGCAATGCTTATCATATACTATAAATGCCAATATAAATCCTATTAAATTTTATAATGATAAAATAATTATTTTTGATCACAAAGTATATGTTTTATCCTACAGTCAAATCAGAAACCTGGTTTAATTTGTATTTAATGTGATCACGTTTGAGGGGGTGGATTTAATCAAAATGTATATAAATTTCTTAAAGACTCAGTTAATTTTATAATCACGTCAGATGGTAACATAGGTTGCAAAGTCACCAAAACAATAAAAAAGTAAAATTAAAAATATCCTATAAATAAAGCGGGTAGAAGTGAATATTTAATAATATCCAGGGGATGGAAAGGAATGCCATCTTCATATAATATATTTTTTTTAAGTTAAAATTTTTATTTTTGTATGCTACGGTTTATTTAAAAACTATGCATAAAAAATACAAAAAATACAAAGTTAAGACACAAAAAGAAAATTTTACTTTCTAATTGACAACAAATAATTATTGTAAATTGCTCTCTTAGCTAAAAGCCAAAATTATAAACCTAGTTTACTTACACACAACATTTTGGACCTTAGTATAAACTATTTTTGGCGTAGCAAGCTGGTCTAGGGGTTAGAGCGTGGGAATCCGGTTCCTGGGTTCCCGGGTTCAAATCCCGCCAAATCAGCAATGGATTTTATCTAAGTGACAATGCCGTAACCCCTAGGTCTAGCCTGTAGTAATGTGAAAAACTATCCCGGGCTTGTGCCTAACGTCCTAGGAAAAAAGGTATAAACTATTTTTGGTATATTATAACATTATAGTTGCGAATAGCAATTATGGATTGTACCAATCCAAACAAAACAGTTTGGCTATTTGTTCAGCCTAATTTTGCTAGAGATTATTAAGTTACTTATTCCCTCACTATATGTCCAGACCACATGTATGTTATAGTACATACAGTAGTAGTAGTAGTGGTAGTAGTTGTAGTAGTAGTGTGTGTAGTAGTGTGTGCTATGTGTTATAGTATGTTAGACTATATGTCACTATTGTCCTTATATGTTCCAGAGTGGTGGTTGCTGCCGTGTCCCCAGCCGTAGTTGTACCGTGCTTATTCCGTATCCGTAGCAAGGGCTACGGTGTAGCTAAGGGAATCCCTACCGTAGTTATCGCCGTTTCCGGCATAGACGACGCTGCGTCCGTAGCCGCCTTTGGCATACTGCAAGGCCTCATGTTTTCAGAGCGTAAGCGTTTGTCATCACCTAAAATTTGTAGAGTTAACTATATTGAGATTGTATTTAGCTCTAAACACGAGCCATAGAGATTTTATGACCTTTTTCTTGTTGAAGGAATATTAAATACATTAAACTATGTGCTTTTGGCGCTTGTTACTTTAAAACGATTTGTTGAATCAGGAAAATACTTTAGTATAAACATTCACACTTTTAACCAGCTACCTATCGTCCAGGAACCTTTTCATCGTGTTTTAAATGCAGCTATTGTTAGCCTACTATAGTTTTACATCATTGTAAACAGTGTAATTAGTTTGATTTAATTTCAACTAAATCAAATACAGTATTATGTTAAACCGAAAATTTATTTAAAACCTACTGCAATTATCAGCAAGCGTTAAGTTTTATTGATTCCAAACAAGTATAATAAGCCCAATCAACCATTTAAGGTAAAATATTTAAGTTGTGAATATTTACTGATAATACAACGAACTTAATACATATTTTACCAAATATTACTATGTAGCTAATTAGTACAGTATTATATGGTCAAATTACCTTATATAAATAAAATAAAGCTAAACATTAACCAATAAAAGCGGAAAAGACAGTTTACTTAAGGATAGTTAAAATAAATAGAAGATAGTTAGATGGTACAAAGATAGTTTTAGGAAACAAGGAGAAATAATTTAAATCAGTCTTCAAACTGACTGTTAATTATTTCAATGTAGTGTTTTACATAATGCTATAACACAGCATACAAAAATTACACGTTTCAATATGTATTGTGTAAATCAGCAAGTACATTCCTTTAACATAATTTATACAATATTTACCATGTGAATTCAGCAACTTTAAGATAAATATGATAATAAAGTTCAAAAATAAATCCGTGAGATTTAACTGTGTAAGTGACACTAATGTAAGTGACTTTTGTAAATAGTGTATACATTTGTTGTATTGTGGTTTTCTATTTTACAGATTCGGCAATGTATAACGTCATCTTAGGAATGGCCTCTGTGTTTTGTGGTGTAGGTTTCGGAATATTTTGGGGACTGCTTCTAAAATACATTCCTGAGAAAGGTGATGTAAGTAAACAATGTTTTAAGCGAATTTTGGAATATTCGTTATTTAAGTCCAGAGATGGATTCCATTTACAATCTAACTGTAATGAAAAATTAAGTGCTTGATTATTATATGAGAGTGAAATAGTTTACCTAAAATCTAGGGATAGAAACTAAATTTCCTGGTTATATATTGCTTCATCGGTTGGGAAAGAGATTAGTTTAAAAATAAATGTTTAGATTTTGAAAAATCCATAAATTTATTTGACGATAAAAAATTTATTTTTACATAATTGTTAATCTTTTGAAATATTGTTCACCTGTGTTAAGCCAAATTATGGTATGCCGAAAACTTTCTAATTGTTTTATAGAAAAACCCAGACTTATTAACTGCCAACTTTACAATATATTAGCATTCTAATGTTTACTTATTTTCATGGTTCTAATGTTATTCCGGTCTAGTTATTATTAAGATAATGTTATAAATTTTATATATTTATTACCAAGAAAATATTACTCATATAAGTTTCATACATTTATTAAATCAGTTTTATTTTAAAATAACAAGCGTCTGTTCCTACTTAAAATACTTGCTTTCTTATAAATATTATTGTAAAATACGAATTCATCCTACCATAAGCTTTACGATTTTGGAATAAAAATGTATTCACAAACTCAGACATTTTCAAAATATCATAATAACCGCTATAGGCCAAAATATAATTACAAAATAGTATGTAGAATGTCTATAGACTTTGGTTATGCTATAGATAACAACGGAATGCATATAATTATATGATTACTGATCAATGCACTATTATTTTAGCCGTTCGTTGTACCAATGAGGATTCTGCTGCTCCTGTGCGGAGGACTTATCTCCGTGTTTGGAAGTGAATTGATAGAACTGGAGGGTGCGGGGCCCCTGGCAGTGGTGGCAGCCTCCTTCATTGCCTCCTGGATTTGGTCAACACAAGGCTGGCACATAGAGGATGTAAGGTTGAAACTAAATATTTTCAAATGTTTTAGGGAGGTTATACATTTGTTGATCATATAAACAAATACTTTTTCCTACAGTTTCCTAACAAAGTGGGCTTCCTTGCACTTATTAGCACGCAAAGTAGCTAATTGCTGCATTTACTTACTTTTCCCACACTCATTTGTTTTTGTCGCACTCCAGTATTCCAACCAAACAACAGAAAAAGATATTACGACTTTGATCAGCCGGTGAAGCGTTTTCCATTTCGTTCATCGCTTAGGATTTAGGATTTAACCATTGACTATTATTTAACCTAACTGAAAAACGGGTTGTATAGTGCTTTAAATACTAACTATTTATAAGCTTTATAGAAACTGTAGGAAAATATTATGTGTAACGTGAGTGCAAAGTGCCTTGCTGCACTCAAGAAACTTTCCACACTCGCCTGTGGCTCATGTGTAATAATTTCTCTTATGTGCAGTGAACTGCCACTTCGCACACGACTTACACAAATAACTATTGAGGTGAACATTTTTTTGCTGAGGAAGTAAGTTAGTTAGCTGATTCAAACTCTATTCCTTTATCAAAATGGACTACGAAATGGGAACTGATGAAACCATTGATTACAAGCAAATAGAATAATTTAGTGTAACTTCGAAATTCTACTTTTATATATAAAAAATAATAAACGTTCCAATAAGAACAAAACTCAATTTTTTAAAAATTATTTCGACACAGTATTGGATGAAATGTTAATAGTACTACACAAATTTAAAGTATTTCAGAAAACATCCATGTAATATATCAAAATACATATATGCCATATGTAATAGTTTATAAAATAATGTAACATATAAATAATTTCATGTATTATGCTGCTTTACTTTGCATGCAAGTAAAGTGCTTGGTAAATCCCGAATTCTATAGTAATAGTCTGATAATAATATACAATTAAAAATGGTGCTAATATGATGTTATTTTCAGAACCCTGTCGTGACTGCGTTTGATATTTTCTGGATGGTGTTTGAGCCAATTCTTTTCTCATTGACTGGAACCCAGATTCGTATTAGAGAGATTGATACTCATATATTTATAATAGCCACAGCCACTTTAGCTGCTTCCTGCATCGTAAGTCATGTTTGTATAATAATAGGTTATTACGATAAATAAAATGGTATTTACCGAGAAAGCGTTTTTCAGGTACAACTCTACATTTCAAAACAACTTTTTTCATCATTCAATATAAACTTTATAAAACACACTCTATAAAACGATGAAATAAAAAAGCTTACATTTAAGAAGTGTTTGAGAGTCATATACAAACAATGTGATTTCAATACCAACCATATTGCACGAAACAACATGTCCCATCTTCTTACCTGAATATTGCAAATATTTCATTTTGTTTGTTGATTGAATAAAGTATATGTTTAAAGAAAATCAAATCAAAATAATTTTTATTTATGGAATCGGACAGCCTTGACTATTTAAGTTTGTCAATTTCGTTTGCATATCTTTATTATTTGTTGTAGAATAATTATAGTTGAAGTTTACATTTCGTAAATAATGGCAATAATTTCCATCATATTTTTTGCAAATTTACTAAGTTTATGAATATGAATATTTCTGTTAATTGACATATGTATATTTTTCAGTTGCGGCAAATGGCTACAGTTGTAGTAGCGTTCGGGACAAATTTGAATTTCAAAGAGAAGATATTCGTCGCGTTGTCTTGGATGGCTAAAGCTTCAGTGCAGGTAATGTTTATAGTTTTAAAGAATACGTTGTATTTTACTATAGAGTTTATAGTACCCCTCTTCTTGTCACAAAATTTCCTAACTTTAGAATTTAGGTAAATTGTCATTGTTTAAGGCATGTAATTTGTATTGCTCTATTCTCTTTCAGTTTGTTTCTTACTCTTGACCAAACACTTACGGTGTAAAGTATTTTTTTTTTTTTATTAAACCCAATATAAATGTATATTAAATTAACAACGATTCGTCAAAACAGGCCTATATTCATTTATCATAAATACGGTATAAAACTATATATTTGTATAGGAATATATGTTACGCCAGTAAACAAATATGTCCATGATGTTGCACAGGAAATGGGTTTGTTTGACAATATGACTCGTAAAAGAAAATTACTTTTAAGAAATACAGTATAATCACAATATGCACATGTTACGAGTTTATCGTATGATTCACATAAAGTGGTGTTAGCAATTTAAAAGAAATACAAACAAAGTTAATAGGACAAAGTAATGAAGTTGGTGGCTCAGTCGGTAGCTTAACGGACACGGGCCACGGGCCCAAAGAAACGATATCGTGGGTTCGGGACCTGGTACCTGCCACTACTTGTTATCAATATAGTTCACTATTAGGCCTCATTGGCGGAAAAAAATGAAAGAAAAAGAAGCATCCAGCCTCTAGAAAAACTAAACAAAAAGATAATACAAATTTAAATTATTAAAATAAACCAGTTTTAGTGTCAATTATTATTGACTATTAAAATTGCTGTAATTGATTTTACTCTCTCTAGTAAATGAGACTCTATATTAATAAAACTGCAAAAATAGGGCATCTTGATTATTTATTCACCCTGATTTTTATTCAGCTTAAAATAGTGAATCACTGAATGGTTAAATTATGATGACGTTATATTAATTAGGGTTAAAATATAAACATAAAACTTATAGCTTAACGTACATAGGTAAAAGTTGTTATTATAGTTAACAGTTAACTTGTAGCTTAGATAAGAGAAACTATTCTAAATACATGTTTGCACCTATTTTTCAGGCTGCTTTAGCCCCAGTGGCGCTAAGTATGGTTGTGGAGATGGGCAAGAAGCCTGGTTCCGAGGAGTATGAGAGTGCCAAGGTCATGCTAATGTTTTGTGTGTTATCCATTGCACTGACAGCTCCTCTGGGTGCTATACTTATCATGCTTACAGGTAAGTTAATTTATTGAAGTGTCAAGTATTTGTAGCTGACATATCAAAATAATTCACTCATAAATTAACTTAATATAACTCTCAATCACTATATTTTGGAGATTTCTTTCGTATTTTTTTCTAATTAATATCTTAGTCGGAAATACTATTTTGAAAACACTCTCAGCATTTAGTTTGAAATAATTTTTGAACAACATAAACAGTATATCTTTGTTATTCTTGATTAATTAAATCTCAGTAGTCTGATATAGAAACGCTAAAAACTTATTATATATATTTTTTTACCATAATAAGTGAGAATTGAGATTTTTACCATATTAGCAAAGTGAGAAGAGTGCGTGAAACTAAGTAAATTCAGGAATCAACTACTTTGCGTGAAATAGTCAGTGCAATTAAGCCCACTTTGCAATGAAAATATGCAAGAAAACATCTCCAGATAAATGCAGGAAAAATGAATTTCAAACTAATTTTTTTTTGTGGTTAATACCGTTTAACCAATTGTTAAATTCAATATGAAAATTAACATCAGCAAAGAGAACCCCAATCAAACTTTACCTCAATATTAGCCAACATGATTGAAGTATCTTAATTTTGTTTCAGGCACCAAACTTTTGACAAAGACTGTAGCAGGTCCTCCAGCTGGTTGGCGCCACAGCGCAAGACCTTCTCTTCGTGACATAACCGTCATAGACCAAGGAAATGACGAAGATGACATAGAGAGAAGGTCAATGTCCTCTAGGCACCATTCGCCTCATGCGGTTCGACGACCCGTGCCTAACCTAGTAGTTACCCACCAGCCCTAGAGTAGGGCGGAAACGTCTGGCAATGTACGGAAAGACATGGTTGACTACGGTTACCTACTATTTAGTACTCCTAGGATGTCCTAGCATTGTTAAGTTGGTTCATGGGCCTTAAGAAAGAGTACAAAATTTCAAACTAAAATTGCTGAATACTTAAATATGTTTATTATAATTATGGAAATACTTAGTGAGAAATGGTGTAAATAAGGGAAAATAAATTTAGTTAACTTGCAATGCTATTAACTTTTTTCTAATTTTAGTAAAATTTTGGAATATATGTTCAATTAAATCATACTGTTTTTTAATCGTTTTTTTCTATGAATAACTTTAATATCTGATTCTTATATTGTTGCTCCAACACCAACCGTGTATGAGTAAAAAAACAACACTTGTTAAATTTGTGTTCTGTTGTGTATTATTATTGTTTTGTGTATAAAACTATAGTTTGATTTACACAATTTTAGATGAATTAAGACGATTTAATTTCTAGAGAATTGAAACTTTCAAAATCCATATCAGGTATATATAATATTTTATGATTGATATTGGTTTTGTTTTCATTGCGTTACTGTTTAAAATATATGAGATTGATAAAAACTTTAACATAAAGATTCTAACAATTCATATTAAAATAATAGAATATGTGTGTAACGTTTCAATTGAGTAAATTGGAATAATTAAAATGTTAATCGAACATTATGATGAATTTATTTTTGAACAGGATTTAGGGGATCTAGAACAAATTAATTATTATGTACTTAAAATAGTCTTCCTAGTTAGTTGTACATATATGTAGAATCGAAATAGATATTCAATGTATAGACGAAGCGCATGGTTACAAAGTGATATTAAAATAGACAATATAGTTAAAATTGTATAGAAATAAATCTTAAGATGTTCATCGTTATGCATATTATGTTTAGTAAAATATTCTATATAAATATATATTTTATTACAAAACCCCTTCTAGAGTTTATTCAGTGTTACGATTCGAAACCATTAAGTTAGATTACTGGTTAAGAAAAATATGTTTATAACATCATAGTTCTATGGACAGATACTGCCTGTGGAGTATGTTTATTTAATATAATGCAAGTACTTCTAGTAGTTTTAGAAAGTGGTATAGCTTAAAAATGAAACGTTGAGATGGTGAAATGTTGGAGTTCGTAATGTTATTTTCGTAATATCAAAGACAGAACTAGTTTCCAGACCACCAATAAAACAATTTACCTCGTTTATCAGAAACAGTTTGTCAACGAAAGATTTATGTTGGCAGACCTTACCTAGCTTTGGCCAGGGTTAATTTGTTTAGTTGTTTCTCTTCTAGATTCCAAAAATAAAAATATATTTCTATATTTATGATCCACTGACGACAAAATACTGTGTTAATCCCATGCTTTGGATTCGTACTATTTAAAGTGTTAATTTGAGTTGTTAGAGTGTTTTGAGTTGATTGTAAGATTTTTGTGTGTGCAATGAAAAATACTGTATAATTGTTAGTTATATAGTTTCAGACGGCATACAGCGTATGTTAAGTGCTAGAAAACTATGTATTACACAAAAAAAACCTTTTTTATCTAGTATTGTGGCTTGGAGACACAAGTGTCGTCTTAAAGGTTACAGTTTGGATCATAATGACTACCAAGATCCTAGCCTATGGATTATGCAAATCTGTTTGATGAAAAGGTACAGGTATTAATTAAGCTATCAATCTGTAACACCAAAAAGTATTGGTTTGACTTCCTTCGTATATGCATAGACCATATGCAAAAACTCTTACTCTTAAATTAAATAATGTAAGACAACTCAAACAGGCAAAGTTATCTACATATATATAAATGATATAACCTGAAAGATTATACAAATAAGGGATTTAAATGTACATATAAAAATACTGCTTCGAAATATGATTTAAATACAATAACTTAAAACAGTTTGCTTAGTTTATTTTAACAACGTAAAGAGCTGCATGGTATAAGAGGGTATTGGCCTCTTTGAAGCATAATTATAAGTTGTACATAATTATGTTTGTGCTTAACAAACAATCAATCAGAACTTTTCTGTAGGCAAATATCCCACCCTAAGTTTAGTATTTATTTTTCTATTTATAGTATTATTATCAGCAAACAAAGTTCTCTAATACATTCAAAGCAAATTAAACTGTAGTCATATGATTAAAAAATGAAGTATTGCATGATAAAAATGTTAAATAGTCGTGTATGTCAATTCTTAATGTAATAGCGTTACCTCTTTTAATGGTACGATCTAGCTAGGTTATATCATAATCCTAAATAATTTGATAAACTAATAGTTCATTTATAATAACTAAAAGAAAAAAAATGTTGTAGGCTCTTGAGCAATCATTCACAATTTGTTTTAAGAACTTAGTAGAATTTAAACTGGTTACAAACACATAGTGACTAAAGTGCAACTTGGTTCCTACAAATATATGTATAAGAGAGAATAATAATGTACGATCATTTATTAGTCGACCCGAAAATTTGGCTATCCTGTTTGTTATATATGGCTGCAGAATTTCTCTCAAAAGCAAATGTTATTTTCCTTTCCGAGGATTTATGTTGGCGGCAGTGTACTGGTTTGGTGCCAACATTAAGACAACAAATCCACAGAAAGCTTTGAGTAGGTTTTTGTGAACAATTATGTATTTTACAGTTGCTTTCCTTACTTCACAAAACAAATATAATGTTTGTTTTATTCTTAATATAAGAAGTCGGAACGAAAAAGTTATTTAACGTTTAAATTGGTGTTTTTTTTAGAGTATCAGGAAAGCTGGATCATGCATTATCGCTGATTTATTACCATACAACTTTTAAGTTACTAGGATAAACTACTTGGAATAAAGCATTTTATTCTACAACGTGAATTCTCCCAATATTAATTTCAAACATTCTTCACTCATGAGAACACCGTGAACTTGTTCCAAGATTGATCTTTGACAAGTTAATGAATAAGTTAATCAGATCTTTGAGATTCGGTGTCACGTTAAAGTCCTTACTTCTGAAGTTTGGAAAGTAATAAATCATCCTGATTTTCAAATAAATTTTGAAGCTTAAAGAGAGTCAAACTTTGAAATGCTGTACGTTATACGATTATCCTGTCACTAGCTTATACTAGAAAAATATATCAGCTACTACTATTTTGTTTTAATACTACGGAACGATATTCTATTGAACTATATAATGCAAATACTTTACTTATAAAAAAGTCATAACATCTCAATTATTATTATCAATTATAAATCATTGAGATGGGGGCGCCACCTAGGTGCGTATTTTAACCCAAATATGAGAGAAAGGTGAGTGTAGAATGGTGTGTAACCTGTGTAGTTACATTATACTCATTACATTAAACAATTGCATTGCATACATACATTATTATAGTACAACTAAATACAAAAAATAAAAAAATCTATCCAAACGGAGTTAAAATTTCATATATTTAAATTTTTAAAGAGTTTTGGTTTTTATAGTTAAAATATCTGTCAATGTGTGTGGACTAAAATTGCGTTTTACTTTTTGAACAAAAAAACCGGCAATTCTTCTTTTCAAAAGTCCTAATCCGTGTACATTTCAACTGACAAAATGTTCGTCTAAACTAAAAGTTCACTCAAGACATTTTACCTAATGTATCTGCAGCCATCCAAATATAACTGTGAAAAACACTGAAATAAATGACTTATAAATGAATGATTTTATCTAAAAAAAAATTAAATAAATAACACCATTATCTCTTGGACAAGAGTCACCTTCAAGTAAGAGAAGCAAGTAATTTTGAATTGTACATAATTTAATAAGGGTGTTTTAGAATTCGTGTTGGCTATTTTAGGGTATTATTCTCGAGTAAGAAGCATGTCCAAATATCATATTTAAAGTCCTATGTTACTCACACAGCCACCATTTTGTTTTTGTTTGTTAACTCTCTAATTGTTTTATAAAAAGTGGTAAAATATACGAATTTGAAACTTTGCACAAACATTTATGACAACTAGACAAAGATACAACAAAATTACAACATTTTTTTAAATTCATAAAACAAATTGGTGGCCATAAAAAATTAGCTTTTCTAAATAACTCAAAAACCGCTGATTTTACAAAAATTTTACTAAAGTATTTTTAAGGCAATTTAAATACAAGTCGATAGGCATCTTATTTTTAAAGATTGGACGAATATTAATTGATATATGGCAGCTTTAGTAATATGTCACTTTTTAAGTGTACACTCACTGTAAAAGGTTAGTGGAACTGACTTCATTGAATAAACAATAACATCTTCAGACAACAATAAAATCAGCTGACTTAGTTTGCAAAACAACTACGTTGACTTTCACCACAGCTAATTTAAAAATGTTAAGTGTTTTGTGTAAATTTTAAAGACTGTAAAAAGGAATGCAATACTGAAGCCATCCTACTGATAGATCATTGTAAAATACACTTTTGTGGTAATGTAATATTTGTTATTGTTTGAAATAATCTAAAATCACTAAAACACAACTTGCAAATCGGACGGAGACTGTTGCATTGTTGTGGCAGACTTTGGTCGCATGCCTTGGTATGCACTGCAACTAACCTCCAGCGGTCACATATTACTAAAGCTGTCATATCTCAGTAATATTTGTTTATTCTTAGAACATAAGGTGTTAACTGATTTGTAATTAAACTACCTTAAAAAAGTTACGCATGTAAATTTTTTGTAAAATTACCGGTTTTTAAGTTATCTAAGAAACAAAATTTTAAATGTCTGCCATTTTGTTTTGTGAATTCAAAACATTTTCATAATTTTTTTGTACCTTTTTCTAGTTCTCATAAATGTTTGTGATAAGTTTCAATTCCGTATCATTTACCACTTTTAAGAAAACAAGAAATACGTTTAAAATTTAAGGTGGCTGTGTGAGTAACTAAGGACTTCCGTACAATTTAAATATGAAATATGAATGTATGTTTCTTACCCAGGAATAATACCCTAAAATATCCGACAAGAATTCTAAAACACTCTGTATATCTCTTTAGCCCCGCTAACTATTAGCTAATTATGTTTTATTACATTAATACAGTTTTTATGTAAATTTACTTAACATAGTTGATAATATAAAATTTGATTAGATAATATACAATGATTAGTTGGGTTATTTATATCGTTAATTTAACAAATATTACTATTAGCCTTACACGTATAAAAATATTGAAAATATCATCGTTTGTAAATTGTTGCTAAAGATCTTCAGAGCTAACTGGTTAACCTTAAAAATACAGAGACGCGTTAGACTCGAATCACCAAGGCACATCGTTAAAGCTGACGACAAATCCTACAGATTTCAGGGATCTCACGTTCTGTGGTCTAGCCTCAAAGGTTTATGGTATTGCTTGAATAAATTTATATCCAAATAATAACTCTATTATCAGTACTTTCTAATAAGGTACAGTAAAGCAACGTTTCAACTTCTTTTAAATACTACAAATACTATCTTG